GGGGGATGAGGGGGGGGCGGGGGTAAGGGAGGATGGGAGCTCACCGAGGATTCTTCGGCTTCACATCGCTTCTCAGGAGCCCTGGGGTCGGAGTGGATGGTGAGCTGCTGTATGGAGCCCTGGGGAAAAGCAGAGAGGTCAGAAGCCACCGCTTGCACGTTTATAGTACAACCATCAGTGGAAACATGATTGTTTTTGTAACGGAGAAGAACCAGTAACAGGGTAGTATTGGCCGTGACAAGTAAACCAAGCCACCCCTAGGCCCGCGCTCATTTGGGGGGGGGGGAGAGTATCTTTGCTTGAGCCAATGTAATTTGAGCCCCACTGTCTGGAGAGCCCCTTGGGGAGTATTGTGTTCAAAGCACAGACTCACACAGCAGCCTCCTAGCTGCTCCCAGGTCTCCAACTTGTCAGGGGCAGCCCCTAAATGCAGTCTCCCTCTCCAGACGGGTCTTGCCCCTGCGGCCGGAAGCTTCTCGGCTAGAAGCCTCGCCCCAAGAAGAGCTGCCAGCCCGCCTCCCTCCCTCCACACTTTCCTCCTCTCCCCACGCCTGACCCCTCATTCTCCACAACCCACCCAGAGCGAGGGTTTAAAAGTTCTTCACTGGATTTTCACTTCTTAAAAATCTCAGTCTTCCAGCACACCACAGGTAAACCCAAGCTCCACCCCACGGTCCTGTCTCGCATCAGTAAGCCCAAAGTCAGTCCACGGGCTGCCTAAATAACGTAGGGGTTTTCTTTAGAATGGCTTGTTCATTATAGCCCATTCTGACGGTAAAGTCAGTTTTCTGATATTTTTTCAGGGCACACTGTCCAAAAGGAGAGAGAGAAGCTCTCTCGCTCAGGCATTCCAGCTTGTGGCACCCTCTGCAGAAATCACTGCATCGGCCACCCTCTCCAAAGCCACACACCACCGAAGGCTCTAGCAAACCCTCCTCTTCTTATAAATGAACCAAGTGCTTTCACACAGGCCATCTCGGTTGACTCTACCACCCCATGACGTAGGGTGTCTTCTCCCCACTTCCAGATAAGAGAACACAGAGAGGCTCAGGGGACCCACGACTGTCTAACCCCGTGGTCGGCAAACTGCGGCTCGCGAGCCACATGCGGCTCTTTGGCCCCTTGAGTGTGGCTCTTCCTAAGCCTTAGGAGTACCCTAATTAAGTTAATAACAATGGACCTACCTATATAGTTTAAGTTTAAAAAATTTGGCTCTCAAAAGAAATTTCAATCGTTGTACTGTTGATATTTGGCTCTGTTGGCTAATGAGTTTGCCGACCACTGGGTTAGACTCTAACCCATCAGGATACAAGGCAAACTCAGGACTGGGATCCAGGTACAGTGGGGCCTTGACTTACGAGTATCCCGACTAACGAGTTTTTTGAGATACCAGCTGTCTCTAGGCTGATTTTTTGCATTGAGTTGATAGAGTAATTTGAGTTAACGAGCTCCTTAACGAGCTCCTTAACGAGGTCTGTCTCGGAACGAATTAAACTCGTAAGTCAAGGCCCCACTGTATTGGGTTCCAGCCTAGCGTTTTTCCCACCGTGCATGCATGCCTCTTGGAGGACATAGGGATAAAATAATAACAAGCATATTCGCTCATGTTTGCTACACAGTGTCCAGCGGCCTCCCTGATGTGCAGGGCTTGGACTCACGATGAATTTCTCCAGGTTCCTGGCTCCTGCACTGCCCACAAAGAGCCCGGTTGTGGGCTCGAAAACCAAGGCCCGGGAGGACCGCTGGAAGGGGGCGTGGCTGTGCTCCTCGCAGTCCACCAGGAGGATCACTTCCTCGCCCTCGACCATCACAGCAAATCGGTTCCACCTGTGGGTCATGGCGGGCACCGAGAAGGCGGCAGCCTCCCGAGACACGGCGGAGCCGGGCTCTGTGTAGTAGAGGATGACCCGCTGGTGGCCGTCCTCCACGGCCGAGAGCTGCAGGCCCAGGTGGATGACCTTCTGGTTGGTATCCATGATGGCAAAGAGCATGCCGCCTCGGTCGCTGCTGGGCTTCACGATGACACTGATGGCAAAGTCCCAGAAGAAGGTGGGCGGGATGAGGACGCTGGCCGGGCGGCCCACGTTGGCGCCAGGCCCGAAGCTGTAGGCTGGGAAGCCACCATAGCCTGTGACAAAGGACACGGATGGGGACAGCGGGAGACCAATGATCTCCATGAGGTCCACGTGGGCCTGGGAAGCCGGTTCTGCAGGGAGAGAGAGAGAGGCCACATTTCACATATATGTTCAACTATGCTTGGAACCGTAGAGGTCACCTGAGATGACCTCTACCGGAGGCGTGTTAACCTGCACCGTACAGTGTAACAGCCGTTAGCCACGTGTGGCCAGCGAGCTCCTGAAGGGTGGTTGCCCCCACCGAGATGTCTCATTGTGTAAAATACCAATTTCCAGTACTTAGTTTAGACCAAGGAATGCAAAATACTTCATTAATAATGTTTACATGGGTTACATGTTGAAATGATAATGGGGGGAAATACTGGGTAAAAGAGATACATTTTTTAATTTTTTTAAAGAATAACATGAGAAACAAGCATGTGCTCTCCCCACGCCCCCAGCCATAAGAAAGAAAATACCAATTCAGCCGGAGCTCTCATGAACTCTCCAGTCCTCTCCCCGTGCCGTGCCCAAGAGGCAGCCCCGGGGGGATGTGGAGTGCCCACTCACACGCAGACTCTACGTGTTCCTTAGGTGAGGAAGTGTCTCTAACACAGTGTGGGACCACTGCATGTCTCTAAACCCCATATACACGTTGGCAAGCCGCATGTACTCTTCTGGCACTTTTTTTTCTCTCACTGTATTTCTGAGGTTTGTCTTTGTTGAGGAACAGGGCTGTGTGACTTATGTTTTAATGACAGTACTCTATGGTGCAAATAGCCATAATAGCTTTCCGTGGATGGAAAGTGAGGTTTCCATCATATGACAAACACTACTGCTATGGACTTTCTTAGACATGTCTCCTCGTGTGTGTTTGCCTGCACAGGTAATTCCACCATCTGGGGGTAGGATTATTGGATGATAAGGGGATATACAGTCACAACTTCACTGAACGTTGCTGAAATGTTCCCTGAAAGCCCTCACTGGTTGCTCAGTGGTTAGAGCGTTGGCTGCAGATTGATGGGTCCCGGGTTTGATTCCGGTCAGGGCACATACCTCGATTACAGGCTCATTCCCTGTTGGGGTGTGTGTGGGAGGCAACCAATTGATGCATCTCTCTTACATTCATGTTTCTCTCCCTCTCTCCCAGTCTCTCCCCCTCCCTTCCACTCTCTCTAAAAATCAATGGGGGGAAAAATATCCTGGGGTGAGGATTAAAACACAAATAAATAATAAATAAAATGTCCCCTGAAGCAACTGCGCCATCTTTTATTGAGACATAATTGACATATAGCATTGTGTATCTTTGAGGTGTATGTAATGTGTTGCTTTGACACACTTATGTAGTGCAATATGATTTCCACCTTAGCTTTAGCTAACACCTAGGGCATGTCAGGTAATCATCATTCCTTTTTTGTGGTGAGAACGTTTAAGATGCCCCTGTACCGTTTTACATGCCCGCCAGCAGTGCGTTCTTGCCAACATGTAGGGGAGGCAGGGGGATGTGATTTGGGTGAGGCCCACAGGCTTTCCAACTCCAGAGATCACGTTGATTTCTTATTCCCCTCCAGTGCCTCGTGCTGCTGCAGGTCCTCCTTCTACCTTGAATGCTGTCCCTCTGTCACCCACCCTACCCAGCCTCACGCCACTCAGTTATTTTGCCAGGATAACTCCTTTCCATCAAGACTCAGCCTGATCTCACCCCCCTTGAAATACCTTGTTTCACCTCCTACACCCACACCCCCTCCTCCCCTTCCTGAGGCTGTATTAGATGTCCGCTCAGTGCACACTGGGTCCTCCACCATAGCCCCAGCACACTGCATTTCACTCTTGGGGGACGTGTCTCTCTCACCATTGGACCATGAAGACAAGGCCCACACCATTCATCTCTGTGTTCCCAGCACCCGGCCCAGTGCTGATGAATGAATGAATGAAGTCCAACCCGCTCCTTTTACAGAAGGTGTAAGTGAGGTTCAAAGAAGGAAGGGGTTTGCTGGCTACGAACTCAGATCCGATTCTCAACCCAAAGCTTTTTCTCTCCAGTTTGGAGCATACATTAAAACAGAGATTAACTAAAGTACGACAGACCTCAGAAGGCATAAATAAAATGATGGATGAATCTGGTTAAATTTAACGACATAGAAATTTTTAAAATTTCGGAGAGCAAAATAAAAATCCCCACAATGTAAAATAAAATCCCCAAATTGGACAAAAATATTTGCTACATATATTACAAACCACAAAGTAATTATCCAGATACACAAAGCCAACGAGTAAGCAGGAGGGCAACAACCCAAGAGAAAAATGGGCAAAGAATAAGAAATTCTTTCCACAGCAAAAGAAATAAAAATGGCTCCTAAACACAGGAAAAGACAGTCAACCTCACTCAGAATGAGAGAAACGTAAGTTACGACTACAAAGATATATCCTTTCTTTCCCTATCAGCTCGTGAAGATAGAATACTGGCTAATGTGCGGAGTTGGCAAGGGCTGGAGGACACAGGCCATCTCATGCCATGCTGGGGGGGCGGGGGGGAGAAATTGGTGTAACATCTGTGGGAAGCACTTTGCCGATATTTATCCAAATCACAAGTGCACAGGTACTCTCCGATCCAGTAATGACACCCCTATGAATGTTTTAACAGATAAAGTTACATGAGTGCAATGTGAAGCATGATCAAGAATATTCATTGCAACATGGTTTGAAATGTATAGAAGTGTCCATCTTTGGGAACGGTTAAATAAATAACAAGTTTGCCCTAGCTGGTTTGGCTCACTGGATAGAGCGTCGGCCTGGGGACTGAAGGGTCCCAGGTTTGATTCCGGTCAAGGGCATGTACCTTGGTTGCAGGCACATCCCCAGTAGGGGGTGTGCAGGAGGCAGCTGATCAATGCTTCTCTCTCATCGATATTTCTAACTCTCTATCTCTCTCCCTTCCTCTCTGTAAAAAATCAATAAAATTATAAAAATAAATAAATAACAAGTTTTTATTTATTTATCCCTACAATGAAATACAATGCAGCCTTTAAAAAGCTGTGATCCCAGCCTGGCTGGGATTCCCGGTCAGGGCCTGAGGTTGTGGACTCTATCCCCAGTGTGGGGTAGGCAGGAGGCAGCTGATCAATGACCTCTCTCATCATTGATGTTCCTAAATCTCTCTCCCGCTCCCTTCTTCTCTAAAATAAAAAAATATATATTTTTTAAAAAGATGTGATTCCAGCTATGGGCAGGTGGCGCCGTTGGCTGGGGCATCGTCTCATACAATGAAAGGATGAGGGTTCGATTTCTAATCAGGGCACATACCCAGATTGGGCTCGATCCCCAGTTGGGGAGTGTATGCGAAGCAACCAATCAATGTTTATCTCTCTCTCCCTTCCTCTCTCTCTAAAATCAATAAACATATCCTTGCCCTAACTGATTTGGCTCAGTGGATAGAGTGTCGGCCTGAGAACAGAAGGGGCCCAGGTTCGATTCCAGTCAAGGGCATGTACCTTGGTTGCGGGCACATCCCCAGTAGGGGGTGTGCAGGAGGCAGCTGATCGATGTTTCTCTCTCATCGATGTTTCTAACTTTCTATCCCTCTTCCTTCCTCTCTGTAAAAAAATCAATAAAATATATTAAAAAATAAACATATCCTTGGGTGAGGATTAAAAAGAAAAAGGTGTGATTCCTTAGTTATTAACATGAAACAATCCACAAGATGTATTAGGTAAACAAGGTACAGAATAGAATCACTATCAGACTTTTCTACTTGTACATGGTGTGAAAAATAAAGACACTGACATATTCTTAAAGATATTCACTCCTTCCATCCCCCTTTACACATTATAAAACCTTCTCTTCTTGCTTTTACTCACTCAGATATAGCCCATCTCTGTGGGGGGGGGGGGGGGGAGGAGGGAGGATGGAGAGTGAAAAGAAACAGAAATAAAAGCAAACACCCCACTGAGATTTCTATTCTCCCTCCACAGTTTAAAGATAAAAACAAAACAAAACGCGGAGCACCCTGCTGACAGCCCGCTTTCTCCTTCCTTTGGCCCGGTGAAAACTTTCTCTCCAGTTCCCCTCTCTCTCCCACTGAGAACAGGAGCGGGAGCTCCTCCGCAGGGCTGACCCGGGCTTGGGGGATGTGAGGTTCCACCAGGAGCAAATGGGCCAGAGCGGTCATTTATTTGCAGGTGGTGTCCAGGGTGTCCCAGGGACAGGTGGGGGTTTAGGGGATTGGGGGCAGGGGCTGAAACATTCCCACCGGGACGCCTGCTTAAGCAATACAGCCCAGGCTTCCACGTGGCAATTCTGGGAATTCTTAGTCCCAGACAGATTCTGCTTTAAAAAATAATCCCAAATCTACCCTGGTTTAACAGACAGGGAGACGGGGGTCAGGAAGAGCGCTCCATCACCAGGAGACGCAACCAGGAAGCAGCAGAGGGAGTATCTAAAGGATGGACGGAGGGAGGTGTGGTTCTGCCTGGGAGGACTTGCAGTCACAGGTCTCCTGAGCGGGTGCCCCTGCTGCCCAGGCCTGACTTGCACGGGGAGACTTAGTGCGCAGGCACCAGCTGCAAGACCTTATTTCCACTGGGTCGGCCACAGAGGGAGCCCAGCCACGAATCTAGAGGAAGCCCAAGTCAGCACAGCCCTGCTCTCAGCAGCCCCACCTCCCTCCACACACATTGTCCCACGGCATTGTCCAGTGGCGGGGAGCAACCCCTGGCCTGGAGTGACCTGTGCTGAGGGCTGCACCTGGGCCTGCTGGCTCATTTACCCTTGGCCTCTGGCAGAAGGGCCACCTGCTCAGGCAGCCACCAGGGAGGGGAGGGGAGAGAAGCCAGAGCCAAGACAAACAGGCCTAGCATTTGGTCCATAGGCTTGTCCTTGAATGGCTCCGTGCTGGGCGGGAAGGGATGGGGTGGGGGGTGGAGATCACAGCTGGTGGGAAGACAGCCTACCATCCTGGAGGGGCAGACTGGAGGGGGGCATGCTGGTTGGGGGCTGATCCTAGAACTCTGGCCTCAGGAACCTCAGGGCCCTTCATGGGAGGGCACCACACTTCTCCCCAGATAATAGTACCTACCTCAGAGGACATTGTGTA